CTTTCAGCTTCTTTTAGCTGTTTTTATGCTCTTTTCTGTTTTTTCCTGCTAATTTCAGCTTTTGTGTGTTTTTTTTTTTTTTAGATTATTTCAGCTAATTTAAGCTTTTTTTGCTTCTTTATGCTAAATACAACTTTTTTAGTTATATTTTTAGGTATTTTCCTGGTAATTTTAGCCTTTTTTATTTTTTCTATAATTTTTTTATTTTACTAATTTCTACCTTTTGTGTTTCTTTTTAATAATTTCAACATTTTTTCTATTTTTCCAGTATCTTTCAGCTAATTTCAGCTTTTTAAAAACCCTTTCAGCTATTTTTAAGCCTCTCTTTCTATTTCAGCTTGTTCTGCTCATTTCAGCTGTTTCTTTTCTAGTCATCTTCTGTCGTTTTTCCTTCTGCTTTTTGCTTTTGTTTTCCTGCAAATGACAACTCACATGAACAGTTTAGTGATGAATCCTGTTCAGCCTAGTTTAAACTTCTTCAGCAGTTTTCAGCAAAAATCATTCCGTAATAAGTGATCACATTGTATTTTGGCAGGAAATGCAATTTATCTCATTTTTGAGCATCCCTTGATTTGTATTAACGTGGAGAAGCCTGAAATAGTGCAAGTCTTCATGATCTCTACATTTGCATCAGCCATCTACAGGACAATAATTTACCATTAATTGCTTTTGTTTTTAGTTTTTAGGGTTTTTTTCCCCAGAAAAATACACCATCACTGCTAAAAAGCAAGCTTTTGTTTAAACCTCCATTGCCTCCAGCATGGTGCCTATTTGATGACATTACATGACTATTGGTGGACTGATTCTATAAAATGACTTGGGGTCACTTGATGTTGATTCCCTCCTACAAAAACATTGTTTACAGCAGAAATATCGTTTTTGCTGAAGTAAAAAAAAAAGATAATGTGAATAAAATCCAAAGGTTTGAAAAAGAATGTAGCCAGCTAATCCACCAGGTCAGGCTTTTTTCTGAGTTTGGTCAGTGTGGACCACTACAGGCTTTCCTTGGTAGACTCATTTTGATTCTGCTCATCACCAACTCCTCCTCACAAAACAATTTGAAGTGAACAATGCACTCATTTACTGACTCAGCCCACTCACTCGCATTTATTTAGTGACATCCTTCATCTATTCAGCTGGCGAGATAACCTTGTTAAAAAGGCCTAGGAAGCAGGCAAACTTTTTTTAAACAACTGCTTGCCTCTGTAGCAACTGGTGTGTCCATAGTCGTAGATCAGCGGTGTGCAGTTTACACAAGGACAGGCCTGAAGGCTCAATCAGCACTTACTGCATTAAAAGTGCGAGTGTTTGCAGTCTCAGCACGATGCTCACCCCAGTGGTAAATGATAATCCATTCGGCTTTGGTTTCCTTGTTTCAAAATGCACATTGCTTCACTCACTGGTGAGCACAGAAGTGTGTTGTCAGGCTCAGATATCTGTCCCTGGACAAAAGCGTCTGATATCAGTGTTTCTGCTTTAACCCCGAAACACACCTGACGGATCGTGAAAACCAGCACCGCTCCCATTTAATAGCACAGGAGAATCACATTGACTTAATTTATTGTCTGATTAAAATTCAGCCTTTGCCGTCACCTTAGCAACTGCTTGGGAAAGAAAAGGTGGGTGGCGTGGGGGGCTGCGAGGCAGGCTCGTAAAGCCTGTTGGCGTTTGTCTCGGTGTAGCGTGTGAGTATATCTGTCGCTGCAAACTTTCATATCCTCACAGAAGTCCTTGTACTTGTGGCAAAAGGAACATTTTATGTAGGCTCTCGACCTTCTGTTGTGCAAGACAGAGACTAAATTATCTCTGTGGCCTCCTGCTTCAAAAGAACTGTGATTAGTTTTTTCCCCTCAATCAGCCTGGAGAGCAAATGCATTTGTTGCTTCCATGCAAATAAAAAAGGACATGGAGGCCACACTCTTTTAGCTCTGAGCTCCTAAACATAGACAACACATTTACACACTAAAGTATTTTGGACAGCAATAAACATCCATAGGGGCAATTTAAATTTTAACCCCGCTGTTGCCCTTGGGTCAAAATGGCTTTAGGCCTTGGTGGTTCAGTTTGACCTGAGGGCAGCAGGAGGATTAATCAAGTATATTAGCTATTACTTTATACATTACAAAATTTGTCACATTTGAACTACATTATCTATTTTTTTTCCTCACTAGCTCTCGTGCAAGACGGACGCCTTTCTTCCCTCTCCTGTTCTCCTGCTTTTTCGCTCTTGTGTATCAGAGCTCCTATTTACACATCTTCCGAATTGTAAACTACTGTCATGGATCTGGTCAGCTGGATTTTCAACGCAATCAATGACATTTTTTCAACAAAGTGAAGGGTCCTGGAGAACTCTCATGCCCCAATGAGACGCATGCGGCAGGATACATCATGAATTGGAAGCTGATGTGCCTTTCCATATTGTCTCAGGAAGACGCTGAAGACATTGAAATCATGATAGCAGAGTTTCTGCTTTTTGGCACCAGTGGATACCTATGTTATTGGCTATTGAAGAAGATGATGGCCACAGTTTCGGCCATGACAAGACTGCGAGCCTGTGTGAAGGTTTGTTTTGTGCTTCGAACACTCAAAATCAGCTGATTTACGAGCTAAACCGTAAGATGGAAGCGATTTGTGAGAAACGCAGGCCACTTGCGGCTTCTGGGACTTGCCAGCATGTTGGGGACAATCTTGGAGGGAACTAATAAGCACAGACCATTGGAATGCCCACAATTCTGGCCATTTTGGATCGAAAGTACCAGCAGAACTCAAGGCTGATGAGAAAAAACAGTCTGCCTGAAAAAAATCAACAATTGGGGCTTATCTGGATCTGACTTCCCTGTTTGGCCTCGAAGCAGGCCGACTTATCAAATTTCTCCTGGGATATGTGTAAACAAAGAAAATTCCTTGAATGACACCAACACCTTAACAGGACTATGAGCTTTATGGAAGTGCTTCATAGACAAATCTCACTGTCTTATATGTCATGTGTCTATAAATGTCCTTGCTGGCAGAGTTTTTTGATGTCTTAAATCATGTCCTGATAAGGACAAGGTGTGAAGAGATCTTTTTTGTAGTACCACTATCCTCCCTTCGTGGCCTTTTCCCTTCTTCTATCTAAGAGAATAAGGGGTCGCACTCTTAGGAGCAGCAGCAACGTGCACTCCGCCCATCTTTCGGACAATTGTACGAACATAATCTCACTGTATTTCGGTACAATGATAATAAAGCTTATTTTGGTTCTGATTTATTTTAAGTAGCAACTTTTAGCTAACAAATCTGATTATATTTGAACTAAAAACATTAATAGGATGGGCAGTGATTTATGAATCTAGTTAAAATGGCCACATTTGAAGAATTAAAGCCATTGTCATGACCATTTAGTTTTATCTGCACCTGGTAGTAATATGCCAAATTGTTTTTTTTTTAATGGCACTTTTCCAGTTGGGATTGGGATGCTTTTTTAATGACAGAACACCTATCACACCCAACTCCCCAAAATAAGATAAAAAGACACAACTCAACATTTCCCAGCATTTTCTTGCCATCATGATTAGTTTTTAAAAATGTATAAAATGGTCAATCAACTTTTCTGACAAAATACATGGATCCTCTTCAGGCTGAACCATCAAGGTGAAAATTAGAAAAGGAGCATTCATAGCTAGTATGGCAGTAGCATGCTTTTGTTTCATCAGTGTGTGTGGGGGAGGGTTCATCTGCAGAAGTTTGGGTGTGTAAAGTCAGTTTTAATTCAACTGTGTGGCTGCAGTGGTTTTTCAGGAAAAACACAAACAGGAAACTAAATCATGAAGCTTCAGCTGAGATTATGGCACACTGAGAAGCTTCTTTTGCTCAAGGATTTCTTGTACGGACACAAAACGATGTAAGTATAAGGAGTCAACCCAATTCAAGATGGCTGCCACAGCAACCTTTGCCAACAATAACTATGACTTACTCAAACTTGAAAATGGCAGGACTGTATTTATTTATTTAATCTGGTAAATTTAGGTCATTTGAACCCAGAAAGATTGTTTCTAACTCACCTAAACAAAATGTGTCCAAATTGTAACAGCACTTTTATTGTTTACGTTTTAATCATTTCTTTTTTTACAGTGTATATGTTTGTATAAAGTAATCTTTCGAACAGCTTGGGACTTTAAAGGTAAAATCCAACAGACTAGACTGAACCACCTGTTCTTTCTGGCTTCTTCTTTTTTTTTTACATCTCTTTTCTTACTGCCCATCCTTGTTCCCCACATGTAAATTCAGCTCCTCACTAGGATGCTGACTTGTTGCCAGTTGTGTGTGTGCGGCGGTGGTGGTGGGGTTGCCATGTATCTGCAGTGTGGCTGCAATGGAGGTCTCCCCCCCCCTCCCCCCACTGCACACTATTGGTATGATATGATTGTTTTCTTCCCAGACGTCCAGGCTACAATCTGATGGATTTTTCTCACAAGCAGAAGTGGGGAAAGTGGGTATGAGTCAGAAGAAGAGGGAGCATGCAGGAGAAAGAAGCGTGGGAGGGAGATGGGGGGGCATAAACAAAAACACAGAGAGAATGAATGTTCCTGCTGAATATTTGTCTTTTAGATGAGTGTGTGTGCCGCAGCGGCGCCCCACTTGGCAGCTCTGGGGGCCAGTTTGATGGGTCCCCTCCACTAACATGCTGTCGTTTCCTTTAGCTGCCTGACGAGGAGATGAACAACACAGACATTATCAGGTAAGCTTCTCCCCTCCATCTCTCCCTTTCCCTCCCTCACTTGCTCTGCTCGTATCTTCCAGCGCTCCATCATCACGCCCCCGCGTTCTCCCTGTCTTCTTCCTTTAAGCTCCTTCCCTCCCACTCTTCTTTCTGTCTTTCCACTCTTGCACAGAGTCTATCTGCCTCACTCCCCCTCTGCCTTTTCCCTTTTGGCTCAGCTGCTGCTGCTGGAGTGGCGTGGTGCTGGCGGCAGCTGTGCTGGTGTGTGCATGTGTGTGCATGTGTGTTTGGGGTTTCTCTGAGCTTTAAGGGAAAGCTGGGTAAACCAATCCAGATAGCACATACAGAGAGGCTCCACCAGCTGGATTTTTATCCCTCCGTCTCCAGGATGAAGCTGTGCATGAGCAGAAGGTACTGCCTTTGCATTCTTGATTTGGATGACAAAGCTGACTTGATTTCATAAATATGTCTTTGGATGAATATGTTTATGCGCCTGTCAGCGTGATGTGGCTGTACTTGTGCTGTTACTTTGTGCTTTCTGATGCAATTCTGGTTGGAATGATCTCCTTTTTATTGTTTTTTTTTTTTTGCTAAAAAAGCTCAATAATGTATGCAGGTATGTATTTGATCCTTTAGCTGGAACTGTTTTGTGGGGAATCATTCACAAAATGTTTGCATTTTTCTTGAATGCATTAAGTTTGTAAGAAATACTGACCATCCATGACTTATACATGTGTGTTTCTGCATGTTTTTTGAACAGTCACCTGTAGGAATACACAGGCAAAACACGACGAAAGCGCTTCACCACCAAAAAAGCAGCAATATTTCTGTTCTTTTACGTGCCGCTAGAAGCCAGAGAGTCTAAAATGTTCGCTCAGACCTGAGTGAGAACCTTCAAACGCTCGTGTAAACAGATTTTAATGAGCTTCATTATTAAATTAGAAGTGCTCAACCACTTTTCTGATTAAACTTGCATTAGGCGGGAACTGAAGTAGCAACAGATAAATTAAAAAAGCAAAAGCGGCAAAAAGGAACAGTTTCATCCACCTCGCTCTCATTTTTACCTCACTTGTAGACAAGTTTTAATTGACACAATTACTAATGAACCATTATTAATCCAACACAGATGGAAATAGATCCCCAGCTTTTCCTTTCTTGTTCGATTACTGATGGTGTTATTACGATTTCAGGCAGATTAGAATTTAAAAGCCGTTTAAGCAGCCGATGAGGGGTAATTAATCCTGACGGGGTGTTTCCTAATGTGAGACATCAATTGTCTTCACTTCTGTGTCACAGCTTTAATTGAATTATAGCAGCTCTGCAGAGATAAGAGGTAGTCCTACGTCTTTTGGCCTCAGCTTTTTATGTTTTTATTGCACAGGAAACAATGTTACCTGAAGCCATAAAAAAAGAGTATAAAAAGAAGCTGGACCCACCTCAATTTCTGACCCTAACTTTTAAAAACAACCTCTCTGCGCAGAGCTCATCGCCAACACGCCTTCCAGGCCCAGTGATGAAATATCCTGAAATCTTTTCCACTTTCTCCCTCTTTCATAATTCCTGTCCCTCCCTCGGCCGAGTCCCTGCACTGGGAGCCCTGCAGCGGAGATGGGGAAGTAAATTTTGCACGGTGACACACTTCAAGCGTTGGAGCACCAACGCACACCAAAAGAGGCTTCTTGGGCGTTCGAACGAGACTTAAAATGTCGAGTTTCTAAAATATCACTAGATTGTCAGGGAATTTAAAGTGTTTTTATAAAAATAAGTATGACATTGCTACTCTGACAACCCCCCCCCCCCCCCAAAAAAAGTGGCAGTTGCCCTCAGAGAATGATCGACGAATGAAATCTAAAATAAAATTATGCTTTTCTCGTGAAGACTCCTGGTGGCAAAGGAATTGATTTAGCAAAGTTTTAAAAATTTTGATGGAGAAGATTATTTTTCTTTTCCCAAGTAACGTCATAAAATGAACTTTAAGTGAATGTAATTTAAAAACTAATACCCATTAAGTTTCATGTATTTGTAAAAGATGAATGGGGTGGCAAATAAAACTCAAGATGTCCTTCAAAATGTATCAGTCGCAGTGGGGAAAAAGTGCATAATTTATAGTCTGTGTTTTATTTATTTAAAAAAAATGCTACTGTAGAAGAGTCCTTTTGAAGTTTAGTCAGGAGTTTTTCCTTTCCACTGTTGCCTTCATGCTTGCTCAAGATGAGAGTTCTCTGATGGAGTTCAATTTAAAGCAGTCTGCTCCTCAGATAAATAATGTTAAATTTTTATTTTTTATATCAATGTTTCTGTTCAGTGCCCTGAGATGACTTCTGTTGTGACTTGGCACCATATATATAAACTGAATTTAATTTAATTTAATGATCTTAGAGTAGAGCGACATGTCCATTTTAGCCTCTGTGCAAAATTACTGCCTCCTTTTTGGGAAACAACCCCCCCCCCACACACACACTTAGACCGGTGATGAACAGAACTGGGTTTGCAAAAAAACACAGGAGCATAGCACTGCTTTGAAGCTTTTACATGCCCAAAAATTATAACCAGTCAAGCAAACTGTTACCTATTGTCAATGGTAATGGTAAATGGACTGTATTGCCCCTTTCTATCTTATCAAGATACCCAAAGCGCTTTACACTACAATCTGTGTCCTCATTTACCCATTCATACAGCACTCTACAAGATCTCTACAAAGCTAATTAAACAAATCATTCTAAAGAAACTAATCAGTGCTTTATCCCATTCATACACTGATGGGACACACATCAGAGGCAACGAGGGGTTCAGTGTCTTGCGCAGTAACACTTCGGCATGTGACTGCTGGTGAATTCGAACCCCCAACTCTTGCATTGGAGGACGACTGCTCTAACCACTCAGCCACAGCCGCCCATAGAGAAAGTTTTTATGTAAAAAAAACTTTTATAAATATGGATTATAGTTAATCAGACTGAATAAATAATGCCACCAGTGGTTATTTTAGTTGCTTTATTTGAATATTTTGGTTGACGGAAATTAAATACGGTAAATTAATTACAGTGTTAGGCGCTAATGTGGGTTAACCTGTAGTTGCAGAAGTGTTTAAAAAAACATTTTAAACTCTGAAACAAATAAAACTACTTTGGTGGAAGTGCAAGTAACCTCAGACTTCAACATCAGATTTTATTTTTTGATCATGCATATATAGTTTGCTATTTACATCCTCGCTGCAGCTGGAGAGAAGCCACAAATCTCCTCACTTTGTTTAGAGAAGCAACAAAAAATAGAAGCTGGTAAAAAAACACATTTACATTGGGGAAAAATGCAACATAAAATGTTTTAATCACAACACGAATATTATTTTCCTGCTGACATCACCTGGCGCTTGTTTTTCCCCTAAAATGGGGCTGTTTGAAGGAGCAGGAATGACGCGACGTCACCCCCCTCTAACCAACCATTACTCAGTGTTTACTCAGTTTAACATCGAGCAACTTCTGAGGCTATGTAATTTAAATATTTATTGATCAGTTCAGTGAACTGCATTATTCTTTTAATATTTTGCCCATTTTTCTTTAAAAACAATATTTGTGTTTTGACTTTCCCTCACATCTTGAGACATTTTTAGACTTTTTAAGGCATGTTGTCTAGAAAACTGAATGCAATAAATGTAAGGAAGTGAAGTGTCACACTTTTAGCACAAAACAGGAGAACATTCTTGTCAGAGGCCTTCTCCCTACAGGGGGTGTCCTGCATGGTTTGGAGGATGGAGGGGCTGAGAGATCACACACCAACTTGCATGTTGCAGTTCGTTTGTTGAGTCGTTCGCTGCTCTTTCCATTTTCTATTCCCTCCCAGTCCTGTTCAGAGCTGTAGCTGCTGGTGCCTCTCTTCAGTGGCCAAAATGTGGGAGGTGAGGCACACCCTGGACAGGTTGTCAGTCCAACACAGAGACAGGCAGGGACAAACTATTCAAGTCTCCTGTCAGTCTTAGATGTTTTTGTTTTGGTCTGTGAGAGGAAACTGAATTGCATCTGCACAGGGAGAACATGTAAATTTCACACTGAAAGGCTACAGCCAAGTTGTGAACCTGTGACCATCAGAACAAAGCTGAAGAGGTCATTGTCCCCAGCAGATATAAACAATCTCTCACAATGTTTCTCAAAGTTCAGTTGGGACCCAATTGTTGGTTCTGATACATCAAGTGTGAGGTCTCGCAATAAAATGGAGAAATTAATCATAATATAATAAAATATACTTTCAGTTATTGTTACAATAAATGACAGGAGTAGCTATAAATTAATCTTTTTAAATGGTTGTTTGGGCAGTTAAACTTATTTATTGGTCTATAAGTAATATTTTTGTTCTTTGACAAATAGTAAATGGGCTCAAAAGTGTTTTAAATTCAAGTATTTGGGGCCAGAAGTTGAAAACTTTGAAAGTTACTGCTCCAACATATGCTATAGATAATCTAGCACACATTTTACAATAGCGCTGACAGGGCAAAGTGTCCAACAGCCCCTGGAGTAACATCTGGATATTTAAAGGGCAGCCCTGCAGTGAGATGGATGCTACATCCAGCAGTAAATTATGAAATGACCACCAGGTAATAACAGAGGTGAAATATTAGAAGTGAAAACAAAATATCCCGAGTGAGTTTGAGGGTAACAAAATCTACAAAATGCCTCTGAAGTCTTTTTATTAACACACTGCTTCAGTTTTTTTCTCCAACATCTGCACCAAAAACAAACTGAATTTCTCATAAGTTGTCTTTTCTTTTTCTGCTTTTCTCTGTTTTTGCACAAAACAGCCCGGCCTCTTCAAATAACACATAAAGAACAAGCCCAGTCACGTTGTGCACTATTACAATGAATTTTGCTGTTTTTTCGTTGTTGTTTTGTGTGTATGTGTGTGTTTTTAGTATCCTCGCACCACACAAAAGATGCCACTCTGCAGCTGTATGTAATGAATTAGAGTAGGTACGAGTCATATTGTGTTACTGGTGGTAAAACTGGGCTGGGCAGCTCTGGGACTTAGCTTTTGTGCATATACTTTGTCATTACAGTCCTCTTAACTTCCTATCTCCTCAATAATGTATTTAACACTTTTCTCAGACTTAAAAGCATGCAGAGCCACATTTCTTTATGAACGTTTGCAAACGCAGCACTGCAACTTAGCTTCTGCTTTCCAACTCAGCAGTCCTACTGTCCTTGTTTTTACAGGAGATGCAGAACTTAAATATTGAATGTCGTTAAACAAAGCAGAAAATAAGAGAACTATGGTTAGTAAAGATATACAAGAGAATGCACTTACAGAAACATTATATTGTATTTAACTTCTGACACTGTTACCTGCAGAATGATGAAGCAATGCACAGAACCAAGACACTTTTCCACATTCTTTAAAGTACAGATTGTTCTTTGTCAGCTGGA